GCCTAAACCAATGCAATGGTAGAAATGGAAAGGAAGAATCAAGATACAAGAAACATTTAGGGAACTGTAGAGGCAGGACAGGACACAGTGCAGGTTTTCTGATCCAGCAGCCAGGGTAAAGAAGGAGTCCTAGAGAGTCCTTTGCGGGTTTTCAGGCTTTTATTGGGATTACCAGGTACAGAGCAGGCAGGGATGCTGGGGGGCTGAGAGGCTGTCAGGCCTCACTCTATCTGACACTCTATCTGGGCTCACTGGTGTTCTCTTACTCTATCTGGGCTCTCTCTGCTTCTCTTCTTCTTCTCTTGGCTTCCATTCATTCTTGGCTTCTGCTGGTGTCCCCATGACGCCACCCTTATAAATTCAGTCTCAGCCCAGGTGTACCCACTTCAGGTGCCTGCCCTCAGGCATGCATTCAGAACCACAAGATTCCCTCATCTATCCTAATGGCAGGAGGGCAGAAAAGCCTGATACTTTTACCTTACCCTACAGGAACTTAACAATTCTTTTGACTTGGGCAATAAGCTTCAAGACACACAGTTATTTGACTTAGAAGGATGGAGGTCCATTCTGGGAGCAAGGCTGATGCAAGTTTGGTGGGCGAAGTCCCACTTAGGTTTGATGCTTTTCAGGTGTCTGAGGCACAACTAGAGAGAAATGCTGGTCTGTGACTCAGTTAAGCTGCTGGTATTTGGGGGTGGGGGGGGGCTTCCTATTTACGCTACTTCTCCCTCACGGGAGGCCACTTATCGGGCTTTTTTGGCCCTCATTTTCATCCTCAAGCCACGAAACCGCAGCCACTTCCGGGCGAGCAGCTTCCCAGTGGCGCCTGCTCACCGGATGTGGGAGCAGCACTTCCGCCCCAGAGGCGCGCGCTCTGGGGACCACGGGAGCAGGTGCTGTCTGGGGCCTGGCAAGTCCAGCCTGTGGCCGCCAGGTCTCGGGGAATGCTGGCGTCTCAGTCGCTGCTGCGTCCCTTTCGGCTGGTTACTCTTCCCGACCTGGAGAGCGTTTTCTTCTCACTACACCCTCACACCTCCACATCCTTCGCAGGAAGTCTACGGTCCTTCCCGGAGGGTTTGCAGGTCTCCAGGCTCGGAGGCAGAGGCCCTAATGAAGATGAGTCAGCTCCTGTTTCCCAGCTGGTAAATGCGGGGCTCATTACCTTTAGTGGTTTTGCATAAAGCCCGGAGAGCTTTGTGAGCTGAGTGTAAAGAGTGTGGCGGCTTTTTGGTTTCTAAATGTGAACCTGGAATGGAGGGAAAACTCAGCGATCAAGATACTCACGTTTTGAATTGTGTTTTCTCCAGGAACGAGACCAGAGTTAATTGCCCCCTCCTGGAATTCCAGATTAGCCCAGGCCCACTATTGAGCGGGAAGATTGCGAGGATTTTGTTCTCAGCAACTAAACTATCAGTGTAACTGGATAGTTGAGGAATTTTTGACCTCACTGTTACTATCAATTGTGGAATAGAAATTATGTTTTCAGTAATTTACTACTTACAAATACATTCTAATTAAGACTCTTCAAGGAAGAATGCCAAATGTATTGGGCAAAAGCTGTACAGTAGGAAATTTTATGTCACTTAAAATAACTGATAATTTAGAATGTGATTATTATTTAGTTGCAATTTGAATCGGAAGTTGAGTTAAACACCTCACTTCAGTGAGATTTATTCTTGCCTAGTCTGAAAAAATAAAGGGGGAACTGCGGCAGCCTCTGCCGCTGAACGCCAGTGAACTTACTAGAAAGAGGGAGGCTTTCACTCAGACACATCCGAGTGAGTAAGACCCCCTTCCCCTGTGCGCTGGACTGGACAGTCAATCACGGGTAAGATCGGGGACAGACTAAAGAAGGCACTGGCTAGCCTCATGTCTGTGACTCCTGACGACCTAAGACAGACACAGTCCCCAAGGGGCTTCATCATGATAAACTTTGGCGTTCAGATCAAACAAGACCTACAAGCCAATAAGCCTAATTTAGACAACAAGCCCATAGTAAATAACCCCTCCTTTGATGGAAACAAGGCTGCTAAGAACATCACCTACAAACAAGCCTGATAAAATTACCTACAAAGCAGTTTAACCATTAACCAAATAGTCATTGTTTCAAAAATAACAACTTAGCAACCTGCCTATAATCATACTACTTTTTCGCTTACTTTGCTTTTTCTTTATATGTATACAATCAGTTTCAGGAAATACATAATAAAGAAAATAGTGTGTGGCAATAATAGTTTTATAATAATCATAATACTTCTCACATAAGACAACACCATAAAAATCAAAATGCTTACGTAGAGAATATATTGCTCGTGATCACTAAAAGTAGAAGGTGCCAGTAGGTAAATATCATTGCTTTTTGATCATTGTAGTTTTGGAATACGAATCAAAAAAAGCTAGCTTAAAGAATACTGTTCTGTATAAACAAAACTGATTGTATAGATTCAATACCTTAAAATTGTTTGATGTGCCATGCCATAAAACATTGATCACATAAACAAATAACAAATGTCTTATGCCTTACAAAATATTTTATGCTAAAAAAAATTAAATTATATAAAATCATCTATTGTTAAAAAAGATATAAAAGTCTATAATGATTTTAAACACATTACATTCAGATCTTCACTCTTAAAGTGTATCTATCTGTCATTTATGCACCGATTCCTTAAACATCCTCACAGTTCCTCAATCCTGAGACAGTCCTGCTAGTCTACCACTACACTAGTCCACAACATTTGTCCTATTCCCATCCTCTTTACCCAGTTGGTTCCACCCCTCCACTCCCATGGCACTTTTTACTTTGCAAAATGAAAAATAATTATTAATGTTGTCACATTACTTGTCTCGCACTGGAGTTAAGCTCCATGAAGGTATAATTCCCCCCACCCTAATTAATGTATTTCAAAGCCAAAGAACAATTTTGGTCCCATAGTAGACATTCAATAAGTATTTTACTAAGTATTTATTGAATGAATGAATGAAAGAATAAATGTTTTCCACCCTCAAAGAACATAGAGGAGAGCTACAAAGGACTTGCATGATTGACATGGCATATGTGAACCGGAGTTCTATTGAAACATCTCATAGTGAAGCCAATCAAGTCAACAAATGTTTATAGAATCCCTACTATACCCCAAATGACAGCTCTCCAAAGTTCTCTTTTTTGTTAAGTATTCTGCTGATACTTTTAGAAACACACCTTTTGTGTTCCTTGGAGGCAGAGCCTATGTTGTTTACCCCCACAGCATCATTTACAGTGATATGCACATTCTAGACAGTAATTATTTGCTGAAAGATCAAGTAAGTGGAATTGGGTTAAAATATTAGATTACCCGGAAATCTTGTTGTTTCTCACATGAACAACACTTGTTTTGTGCAGTTATGGCCTATGATAGTAATATTTCGCAAACAGGTCCATTTCTCTGAAAGATTTTCAAGTATTTTAAATAATATTTGGGTTTTCATTTTAGTGATTATCTGGAAGATTAATTTACACATATTCTAGGTTGTTTGGATTACCAGATACTGACAGGAGGTTTTTGTGTCCCTGTTTGTTTTGTAACTGTTTTGAATGCAATAGCACTATATAGTGTAGTACTTTGTCACAAGTTCCTAAGAACAGATGCAGCCTAAAAATGTCAGTGATTTATTCACCCCAAATGAATCCTTGATGATATCAAGCTGCTCTGTTGGGAGATTTCACAGTAGTTTAAAAGAAGAAAAGTGATGAGAGAAATGAGTCATAATGGGGTAAAATGGATTCGTTAAGCTAGTAGTCAGCACCATATTCTGTTCTGAGAGGTTATTTTGTTTTGCAAAGTACAATCATTTGTTTTTAAGTCAATATTTTTAACTTAAATTTTCCTGATGTTATAGTTTTAGTTGCATTTATTTTGTAATTTTGTAATTTTTTTGTATTTATGAGAGCTATACTATAAGGAATTTGAGCCTACCTTTATGTGTTTGTATGTATTTAATAACATCATAATAAAGATAGTCTAAATTGGGAATGTGAGATCTTCAAAATGTGTTTTTACTTTTAGTACATTTTAGTGATGTGTTTAAATTTTACTTAAGTGAAACAACTCAAGTAAAAAAAATGACCACACAGCTTCAGACTTCTAGGCCCAGCACACAGAACAGTTATTTCAGTAAAGTCCAGGTGAAACAGTTGTGTGCAGGACAAATATTTCTGCTGCTTCTTTGGCTAGTGGTGCTGATGGCAGTGAAAAATAGAAGGGGAGGATCTTAGGAAAATGGTTGGAGATGGTTGGAGAAAATAGGAATTATAAAGTTGGAGCTTTCATTGCAATTTCATTTTTGGCTCAGAATTTGTGAGTTCTCTTTCTTAGTGACTTTTTTCAAATGGCTAAGTGAAATGCAGTGTTTTGTTTCTAGATTAAAAAAAAATGCTTAGCAGCATTTCTGTAGGAGATGTAAAACTCTGTGGGGTGTGGAGCACTTGGGAGACCTAAAAAAAGCTATTTAAGGTCATTATGATGAGAGATCAGAGGAAAAAGAAACTTTCTGATGTAGTTTTCTCTCACTCTCCTTACCTCCCTGGCCCTACTGTGGGAAATAGGAGTAGGAAGAAATGAGATGAGGTCTTAGTTTCAGTTTACTTTTAATAGAATGGGTCCTGGAATCAGCTGTTATTTCAGTCAACTTTGCTACCATGTCCAGAAAAATACTGTCTGGATTCAGTCAGTTAAATATTTATTGAGCACCTACTATATGCTAGTCATTACATGGGAAGATGAAGACAGTGAGCAATACAGAGGCCAGACTTTGGCACTTAATGTAAAACTAATATCTGTTGATTCTGTTCTATGTGTCATTATCTTCACTTAGTCCATTTTAGGTGAAAATAATTGGGCAACTTGAATTTTTAGTGTATTCTTTATGCTGATTTGTCTGATTTCCAGTATGAAACATAGTTTTAGAACTTGTAAAGGCTTAGATTAATTTGTTCTTTTTATCTTTCTCTCTTTTTAAAGGGGTGTTATGAAAGTTGACATAAATCTTCAGAAAGTGGACATAGACCAATGTTCAAGTGATGGCTGGTTTTCAGGAACTCACAAATGTCACCTTAATAATTCAGAGGTAAGAACATAAAAATAAAATCCTCTGATAGCAGCTCAGAAATGTGTTACTTTAGAATATATTGTATCTGTGTGGATAAGTGAATAAGAGTCATTTTACTGGGGTGGGGGAATCTTATGCATGTCTGAGTGTTGCCAAATGAAAGTACAAAATGAAAGTTGTATAGAATGATTGTTCATTGGGGTACTGAAAGAAGGCTGGAAATAAAATTATGTCTGCAGTTTGGTTTTAGTCAAAGATGACCCTATTCTTCAAAATGGGTTGGAAATTAAAATAATACTAATGTGAGAATCCAGCCCCAGGAGGTCAGTAAGATTATACACATTTTTATGAAATATGATGCTTTTGAAACATTGACGGCATTTATTTAGACATACTGCCATCTGCTAGAAAAACAATAGAGAATGTATGGCAGGGAAACTTTGAAAGTAAGAGAACTGTATACAGGGATCTGGAAAAGAAATGTTTATATTTATGTATGTTTTTCCATTTTTCAGTTTCTATTTTATGGGACTGTTGTTGGTAAGACACAGATATATAACTAATACTTCTGGCATTAAGACTGTCAGTTTCTGTGTTTCGTAGTTTGAGAAAAAAATGTTATGATAACCTGGCTTAATTTCCATTACTATATCTCTGAGGTACCAAAATGCTATGAAGCAAATGTAAAATAAATACTTGGGCTACCCCAACATTGGGTCCATAAATTTGTGAGAAAGTCAGTTCTATTTAAAATAGAGGATATAGGGCCTTCCTGGGGGAATGGGTGTTAAAGACACAGTGCTATTAAGCTATCGGTAGCCATGACAACAAAAGTTCGATCCCTGGCCAGGGAGCTGACCCACATGGCACAGCAGACCTCTCCTGTCTCACCTGCTGCCCCCCTCAGCAGTGTATTTCAGTAGATCCACCTGTTCTCCTCCCCACTCTGTATCTGTTCAATCCTCTCACCCCCCACAACTTTGGTGTACACCCCAGTTCTTGTATGCATAAATAAATAAATCTTAAAAAAAAGGATATATTACCATAAAGATGTAATCTAAACCTTTAATTTGAATTTTTGCCTTTTGTGAAAGATGTCATACAATAGAACAATTTTAAGGTAAGGGATTTTAAGTTAGAAGGAACTTTAACAGTAAGTACTTATTATGCCATTATGTGAACAGACAAGGACAGTGCCATAAGCATAGGTTTGCATTTATACATAGGCCCATTGCATGTTTCCTATGTGTGTTTCCATATAACATGTCACACGTAATCCCATATTTCATACCCCACCACTGCAAAAATAATCTTCCAGTTTCCCACCTCCTCCCTACCTTCTACATACACCTCCACTTGCTTTCCATCCTTTCTACCCAAGTATCTCTTAACTTTCTCAACTTCATCTACTATAGCCCCCCCATATTCATCCATATCTCTCTAAATTCATCATATATCTCCACCATATCCCTCGCCCTCACTTCCTTAATACCCCACACATATTCCCACACAACTTCATACCCCCTCCCATATCTCCATATACCTCCATAAAGTCCTCACCTTTACTCCCCCACGAAGAGGAACTCAGTTATGTAAATGAAATTCTTCTGTTTTGTCAACTCATAAAAGTTAAGATCCTCTTTTCACCAGCTTCCCTTATATTCTCATGGTTTTGAACACTTCTGAATCTCTGATTCCCTTTGGATGATTCTGGCATGTCTAAAGATAAAATTTCAATCACTGGTTTGGTGTATCTCTAGCCTAAATTATTATCTCCAGGCGAGTGGCAGTTAGAACTTAGCTTAGTCTTTAGCCAGAATATAATTTTTTCTGCATGGTTTTCATATTGTGGATATTTATCTGAATGTGCTCATTTCTATATAGCCTTGTTTCGTTTGTGTCTTGGATGGTTCAATAAGTAGTCTGTCTAGAAACAAGAAGATATTTACTTTTCAATTTGTTGCTGTTGCCTCTGGCTTCTAATAATCTCAGTGTAGATTTTCTTTTCTTATAATATCTCTGTTTATTTGACTAGATGCTTATGTGGGAAAAAATCTTTTTCCCTTTTGGAAGATTGATTTATTTTCATTATGTCAGGTTATTAATTCTGGGTTGTTGGTGTCTTTTTAAAGCATTTAAATAAGTAAATTATTTTAAGATAAAACATAATTCTCTATTCTGGTTAACAAAAATTGAAATGTGTAACTTGGGAATTATATGTGAGTGCATTGTATTTATTTGTGTACTGTAGAGATACCTGGTAAAACATATCCTGCAAGACAACCTACAGTTCAGTGAATTTCATTTGAAAATATACAAAGAGCCTCAATGATTAAAAAAATAGCAGGGACTGAATAGCAGTACAAAAAATAGCAGTACACTGAATCAACAAAATGCATATTTTGACTTAGATTCTGAATTCCTCCACTTCCTTTCCTTGTCAAAGTATAGGAGTTGGGAGTGTGAGGTCTTGCTGTCATGACTGGGCCTGTGAGGTCCTTGGTGGGTAGTGTGATACAGGGCTGGCTCTCTAAGATTTTGCTGTTGGTGCTCTAGACACCTTCAGCAAATCCATATAACATCCTCAAGCCAATGACTAGCAATTATTGACTTTCAATTTCCTCCATATACAGGTGTGAATTGGAGATTAAGAACTAGTTTCTCTTGAAGTTTTTACTGCTTGAGAAAACAAAGAAAAATCCCTATTCAGGGCATTTTCATCTGTACTGGTTCCCTGTTGTTCTTTGTCACAAATTTTCTATTACAAATCTCCAGGTATTACCATAATTGACTTATTTTGAGAAGTACTTACATACTTCATATTTGTAGGGTGTAGTGGCCTGTCTTTGGGAATAGTTGCATCAGTGGAAACAGAGGCACTTACTGTTCTTATTGCAGGTTCTGTCTTTTAATGTTTATATAATATTAGAGGAAGTTACAAGTTTCAAACTTAAAATTGAAGTGAAATTTTCACCTTTAAAAATTGTCTGGTTACATTGACTTTTCATTGTCTAAGATATCTTAAATCAGAATAGTGAGTCTGATGCTAGAAACAGAAAAGTGGTGTGTGGCCAAGAAAAGAGCCTCAGGGAAATTTTAGAAAGTCATAAAATAGTTTGTGAGGAGAATAATTTCTCAATGAATTTGGGTAGTTGCAGCATCTAGAAGGCCTCTAGGTAGTTTTTGAAGGTATTGAAAGGCAAGATATTAGTTGACATCCTGAAATGGATTGCAGCATTATTCTGGGTGTTTTCATAACTGATTGAGATCATGGCAACATGGGTGTGATCATGTTTTCTTGGATTTGATCATCTATCCACTTAAGCAATTCTCTCTCTTTTTTTTTTTTTTAAAGATTTATTTATTTATATAAGCACTGGGTACACTTAGAAGCACAGGAGGGTGAGAGAATTCGCCAGAGTGGAGAGCAGAACAGGCAGACTGACAAGGTACACTGCTGAGGGGAGCAGCAGGCAGCAGGAGAGGTCTGCATGCCATGTGGGACCCTTGCCTGGTGGCTGGGGATCGAACCTGTGCTACAGAGGCTGCGGGCAGCTTTGCAACCCAGCGCTCAACCGCTGCACCACTGGGGAGGCCCCATCTAAGCAATTCTTGACCTATTTTCTTATCATTTTTTGCCTTGAGTACACAACATTGTCTCCTAGTATAGTTTTTTCAAACGCTAAAATTAATTAATATTCATTTTTGCTTTAAAGGTTTTCTTTGCATTTTCTGTTATAAGAATTTTTCATTATTATTTGAACTATAAAACATTAGGACAGTGGCCTTGAAATTTTTGATTACGTTCATTTACTAAAAATGCTTTAAAGTATCCAACCATAGTTTATGCATATTTTTAACCTATAAAGTATATTTTTTGTAAAACTTATGTTTTCTACTGGGTCTCCCTGGTGGCGCAGGGGGTTGAGGTGCAACCTGGGGGGCTGTCCGCAGCCTCTGCAGCACGAGTTCGATCCCCTGGCTGGCCGGGGAGCAGCCTACATGGTGCAGTGGACCTCTCCTGGCTCGCCCACTGCTCCCCTCAGCAGTGTGCTTTGGTTGATCTGCCTGTTCTGTTCCCCACTCTGTCTCTGGCGGGTCCTCTCACCCCCCACATTTCTGGCCCGTACCCCAGCTCTTATATGCATAAATAAATAAATCTTAAAAAAATATGTTTTTTTCTATTATAAGTGAGAAAACTTATTCCACTTGAAAGATGTAATAATATATATATTTTTTTTTTAAATAGAGGCATGTTTTATTTATTTATTTGTTTGTTTGTTTTGTTTATACAAGCACTGGGTACAGTCAGAAGCGCGGGAGGGTGAGAGAATTCACCAGAGCCAGAGCAGGGAGCAGAGCAGGCAGAAGGACTGAAGTACACTGCTGAGGGGAGCAGCGGGCGGCAGGAGAGGTCTGCGCGCCATGTGGGACCCTCCTCTGGTGGCCGTGGAGCAGCCGGGGATCGAACCGGCGCCGCAGAGGCCGCGGACAGCTTCGCAACCCAGCGCTCAACCGCTGCGCCACCGGGGAGGCCCGAAAGATGTAATAATATTTTAATGTCAATTGTATTTAAAACATACATATATCTTTAAAGGGAGCAATATAATGGGCTGATTTACAATTGTTGAAAAAAATTTAGTGTTATGATTGATTATGCTTAATCATTTAAAAAATTTGGATAGTAATGTAGTGATTCAGAGTTCTCTCAGTTTAGTTTGTTTTTCTACTTAGTTTTAGTGTTTGCCATAGTTGAAAATATTCCTCACACGTATGTCAGTCCAAATTGAAGAAATAAATTGTTGATTGTGTTTGCCATCTTATTCAATATTCAGTTCTATCTACCACTTTTGTAAAGGTTTTTGCTGAAATATAGCTGGCAAGTTTTCATCTTACTGATGTCAATTGGTCCCTGCAAACCAGTTGGAAAGCTGGGCATTTTAATATTTTAAAGGAATAGGTTAAAATCTACTCAACATTTCACAAGGGATATTTTCAAAAAGATTAGGGAATTTTAT